ACGCCAATGGGGCCATAGAGGTCCGACTCCATGCCACCGGCTACATCAACTCAGCATTTCTCTTTGGTGCTGCCCGAAGTTACGGGAACCAGGTTGGGGAGCACACGCTGGGCACCGTCCATACCCACAGCGCCCACTTCAAGGTGGATCTGGATGTAGCAGGTAAGATATTCCAGCAGAAACAAGGATTCCAGAAGAGGGGGCTGAGGTCTCCATGCCTAGCTTTAAAAATTGTCACTGAAACATGAAAAATATAAAAGTGTATGAAATAAACGTGAAAGTCATTGGATTCCTGAGAGATTTTCACCCTTAGCAGATCATTCTTCCATACTTAAAAAAAAAATTGGGGCTCCTGGGTGGCTCAGTCGGTTAAGCGTCCGACTTCAGCTCAGGTCACGATCTTGCGGTCTGTGAGTTCGAGCCCCGTGTCGGGCTCTGGGCTGATGGCTCGGAGCCTGGAGCCTGCTTCTGATTCTGTGTCTCCCTCTCTCTCTGCCCCTCCCCCGTTCATGCTCTGTCTCTCTCTGTCTCAAAACTAAATAAGCGTTAAAAAAATTAAAAAAAAATTCTTCCATATTTTAAAATGTCGCATCTGCAATATTTAATAAATTATAACATTTATGATATTGTATACTATCTACAAATAGGATATATTGATATAAATATTTAAGGTTTTTATTACCAAATTTGGGTCATAATGTACATATATTTTGCCACATCTGTTTTTTCACATAACAGCGTATCACTCATGTAAGCAACAAATATTTACTGAATGCATATTTGTGCCAAGCACGGCATTAATGCAATTTAACAAAAGAAACAACATCCTTGCTCTTAAGAGGCTTGCATTCTAATGGGGGAGTGGAGAGCGTGTGCAGCACCTTGAAAAATATGTGTGATAGAAACATTTTTATGCTTAACTGCTCTATACATCGGTTTACACAAGTGTAAAAATGGTGTAACAGTCCATTCTTAGTAAGACTGTTTGAGGATTAAGGATGAGTACTTTAAAACACTGTCTCTTAAAAAAAAACTTATCCATGCATTCATTCATTTAAGTAATCCTTATACCCAACATGGGACTCGAACTCACAACCCTGAGATCGAGAGTCACATGCTCTTCTGACAGACCCAGCAAGGCGCCTCCAAAACACTTTATCTTCTGAAATAATTTTAGACTTAAGAAAAGTTGCAGGGGCGCCTGGGTGGCGCAGTCGGTTAAGCGTCCGACTTCAGCCAGGTCACGATCTCGCGGTCCGTGAGTTCGAGCCCCGCGTCGGGCTCTGGGCTGATGGCTCGGAGCCTGGAGCCTGTTTCTGATTCTGTGTCTCCCTCTCTCTCTGCCCCTCCCCCGTTCATGCTCTGTCTCTCTCTGTCCCAAAAATAAATTTAAAAAAAGTTGAAAAAAAAATTTAAAAAAAAGAAAAGTTGCAAACTTTGTCCAGTTCCCATATACCCTTCACCCAGCTCCTTACATGTTAACATCTTACATAACCACAGTATGGCCATCAAACCAGGAAATTAACATTATTACAATACTATTAACTAAACTACAGACCTTATTAGGGTTTCATTTGTTCTTCCACTAATTTTCTTTTTCTGTTCCAGGATCTAATGCAGGATGCTGCACTGCATTTACATGACTTACCTCCTTAGTTTCCTCCAACCCGTGACAGTCTCTTAGGCTTTTCTTGTCTTTCATGACCTTCACACTAGGGAAGATATTGGTCATTATTTTGCACGATATCTCTCAAAGTGGGGTTCTCTGTTATTTTCTCATGGTTAGATTGAGACTGTACTTTTTTTTTTTTTGCAAGAAAACAAGAGAAATGACATTATGCCCTTCTCAGTCCATCATATCAAGAGATATAGTGATGTTGACCTCAAGCACTTAGTTACGATGGTGTCTTCTAGCTTTCTCCATTGTAAAAGTTAATATTTTTCCATTTCCTGTTAATAAATATCTTGGGGCAATTACTTTGATGCCATGTGAATATCCTATTTTTTTTTCTTCTCAAATTCTTGCCCACTAATTTTTAGCATCTATTGGTGGACTTTTTTTTAATGCCACAATTATTACTGCAGTGTTACCCTACTGGTCATTTCAAATTTTTTTCCTTATTCTTTATTCATTTATTAATTAGAATTCTTCATAAGGAAGGGCTATCCTCCTTTTACATGTATTTATATATGTAATTATTCACAACTGCACGGATTCATGGATATTTATTTTAGTCTAAGGGTTATAACCCAGTACTATCGTTTATTTTGTTCCTTGAACTGTTCCAGTTTTGGCCATTGGGAGATGCTTCAGGTTGGTTCCTGTGTTCTTTTGATGTGCCTCCAACCTTTTTTGAGCACTTCTTGGCACAAGATGTTCGAATTTTTTTTAATGCTTATTTTTTTATTTTGAGAGAGAGAGATAAAAAGTGAGCAGAAGAGGGACAGAGAGAGAAGGAGAGAATCCCAAGCAGGCTCCGCACTGTGTGGAGCCTGACGCGGGGCTCGAACTCGTGAACCGTGAGATCGTGACCTGAGGCGAAAATCAAGAGTCAGATGCTTAACTGACTAAGCCACCCAGGTGCCCCACAAGATGTTTATTTTCCCTGCTCCAGCCCTGGAATCAACCACTTCTCCAAGGTGTTCTGGTTCCTTCTAATTGGAAGATATTATTTAGAAACCAAGACCTGGGTACCCAGAGTGCTCATTGTCACTGGGATGTCATTGCTTTTAGGATCGCTCATTGGACTTAGCTAGAAAATATAGGTATGTATTCTGCCCGACACACACACCTCTCTTTAGCTCTGTTCCTGAGCAATATCTCTTCAAGCACTTTGAGCGGTGCCTGACGCATAGTGAGGAGTATTAGCCATTGTTGCTGCTGCTGTCCTCCACATGAGCCCGTGTGGGTGTACCAGAAAGAACTCTTGGCCTTTTTATTTATTTTTATTTTTTTTATTTTTTAAAAAAATTTTTTTTTTAACATTTATTTATTTTTGAGATAGAGAGAGAGACAGAGCATGAATGGGGGAGGGTCAGAGAGAAGGAGACACAGAATCTGAAACAGGCTCCAGGGTCTGAGCTGTCAGCACAGAGCCTGACGCGGGGCTCGAACTCACGGACCGCGAGATCATGACCTGAGCCGAAGTCGGCCGCCCAACCGACTGAGCCACCCAGGCGCCCCTATTTTTATTTTTTTTAATGTTTATTTATTATTGAGAGACAAAGAGAGACAGAGCATGAGCATGGGAGGGGCAGAGAGAGGGGGAGACACGGAATCTGAAGCAGGCTCCAGGCTCTGTGCACAGAGCCTGATGTGGGGCTCGAACTCACAAATCATGAGATCATGACCTGAGCTGAAGTCGGACGCTTAACCAACTGAGCCACCCAGGCGCCCCTCTTGGTCTTTAATTGTCACCTCTGGGTAGAAACCCTGGGGTGTGGACTAGGGGCAGTGAATCCACAAAAGGAAACTGAGAGTGTGCTTCATCAGTCTCTGCTCTCCTCTGGTCCTTGGAAGGTATGGAGGGAGTTTCGGCATGTTTTGGTTTACTGCTCTTTGGTCCCAGATCACTTAAGTTGATTCCTAATATGGGACCTAGTTAGATTCTAATAAAATCATTCAAAATTCCCAGAGTTCAGGGAACAGACTGTGCACTTGGCCCTGCTCTTAATTCCTTGCCAAGCCTCAAATGATAAGAAATACCCCCAAGCTCCAGCAGCATTGGGCCCGGGGTCTGATTTTCCTTCCCTCTGGCCAGCATTTCTGCCATCCATGTGTGGTGGGACCATTCTATGTTGCTTTCCTCTGTGTGCTGCTGTGTGGACAATGCAGAGCCAGAGTAAGACAGGGGTCCCCAGCACTACCATGATACTAACCACATGCCCTTGATGACAAACTAGAGCACATTCTTTAAATCTCTAAGCCTCAGTTGTCCCATCTATACAATGGGGACGATTGTCATTCCTCCTTCATAAGGTTGTAGTTCAAGTAAAGCACCAGTGCCCTGCCTGTGCAGAGCTCCTCGAGGAGGAGGTACAACTATTTTTATGTTAATGGCAAGGTAGTTCCGGTGATGCTATAGGGCTTTAGACATGAGGCGTAGACACTTTCCTTGGGTCAGGAAGAATCTGACTCCTGCACATTGCCAGCCAGTCTGCTCCAACCTCAGGGAAACCATCCTCCCTGGCAGGTCCCCAGCAGGAGAAGGTCAGTGGAGATCCAGTCACAAGGCATCTGGGATTATTACCAGAGACGACATCAGTCAGGACCTTCTCCAAATCTCTGGATAGGAGATATCTTGGGGAGAGGGAAGGGGAGCAGGGGGCACACCCAGTTCTGGGTTTCTCTTTGGCCCCACTCTGAAGCAGT